AACGAGAGGCAGTATCGAGCCAAACATTTAAAAGAAAAAAGCTGGAGCCAAACCTTGGAAAAAAAACCGCCGCGTTCTTCTCGGCGTCAAAGCACCCGTGCCCTTGTCAATGCCTTTGCTGGTCAAAGCTTGTAATGGATTTATCCGGCGAACCTGCACTCCAAACCCCTAAATCCAGGGCCAACATTCCGGATTTCATTGTTTTCTACTTCGGCCATGCGGAACCCATAAGTTTGTAAGCTTGACTGAGGTACCCGAAGCAGGAGGTAGAGGATCGGCAGCAGCAGCTGAAAGCGGATCTTGCTTCTTTAAAAAGGCCGCAAGAGCCAAACGTGAGTGGCGGAAGGGGGGTGAGTTCAGCAGCCGATGGAGGGGTACCAGGCATCGTTATTGGATCTGGGATGGACCTCTATTGAGAGATCACCTTGAGCATGTTGTTGCGATTTCTGGATACAGTAGGAGCTATGTGGGGTTTTGTCTGTTCCTGCTTGGGCCCTTCTTGACGACAATTTTGCTGGCGCGGGCGCAAACACTAGGTATTGAAAAACATGTTGCAGCCCCTTACAAAACTAGTGACCTTTGCACAGAAGCCTGAAACTAAGACAGTAAAATCAGCGTTGGGGAGGTGTATGGGAGCTTTTCAAGACCTTGCTTGCGTAGCCGAAAAAGCAGCGAAGCGCACGAGTCGCAATCTCGTCGGCCCAAAAGACAGGACAGATATAAGGACCTTGGGGGTCCAAACTTGGCGAGATTTCTGTGGCTGTGTGCGCGCTGAGAACCTGGCAGGAGCGTGATGTCGAGCCAAAATGTGAGCGCGAGATGCACGATATCTGGTGAATCTCTTGATCTCAAGGTCTGTCTTGCAAAGGCGTGGCAAAAACAAAACAAACACACTCTTGCACACACACACACAACACTTTCAAAAGCTTTTCCGCCTAGCTCGCTGCTTCTGGCTAGAAGCGCCTGTTTAATACGTTCTGTCGATTTGGTGCCAGATACAGGGCTTTTGCGCCCTTTTTGCAGACGGGAGTGGTTGAGCAAAATCCAAATGCAACGGGCGCCAGAAGCAACCGTGGCCATTCTCTGGGCAGAATCTAGTTGCAACGACAAGGATGGACGAGCTAGGAAAAGTATCGCAGTTCACACAAGACATATCAGAGCCTCATTTGACGGAAAAACTGTATCACAAATGAAACAGGGCCTAGATATTATATTTCTTGAGAAATGCCTGCTCGCCGGTATTGAGGTTTGAAGGATTTGGAGGCACGATTTATCGCTCCAGTGTCTGTAGTGCTTACGTGTCGCACGTATGTACAAATTCGCTTCTTGGACAGGAAGGGGCGGAACATGCAGTGCTTTGACTGTGGCGTTGCCGATGCTGCTTGCCCAAGTCTGTCCACGCACGCATTGAAGATTTTTAAGTGTTCTAGCCTTAGTTTTGAAGCCTGAATCCTGAAGAAGGATCTGAGATTCTCCCCTCCTCCTCTGTGCTCTAGCTTTCTGCGAGGAAAAACCTGAAGTCACCAGGTGAGGCATGGGTTCTGTGAAGGAATCCTATGCAGAAGTCCCCTATACTGAAGGTCTTTAGGACACTTATGTTCCCAAGTCATTGGGCAATGTAAGGAGCAACGTGGGTTTTTGTTTGAGCCAGGGTTACCTTAACAATCGAAGGCGCAAAGACTTCCAAACGGGTACCTGAAATTTTGCATTGTGCTACATTCTCGTAGGTCCTGAGAAAGCAGTTACTAGGATGACTTCAGCCAACAGGGAGACTTTAGACTGTAAAAAAGGACTGCTTCTGCAAAGCTTGGGGTTTACGCTTCCTGGGACGCCTTCCTCATAGCCAGACAGTGCAGCAAAAGGGCCTTTGTTTCTGGAAAGCTACAATTTATTTGAGCGTGCCGTGGTTGCACGTATATAGCTATGGAGCAGAGTAACAGATTGAAGTTCAGTTGGCAGCTTAGACGGTTGGCGCTTTATGTCAAGCACTCAGCCAGTCATAAGGGAATTCTGTGAAAACTGACGACTAGTGTGCTAATGCCTAGTTCTTAGATCCGAATTTCTGCTGTGGGCCACAAGGAGCTGCACGATGTAATGATGTCTCGGTGTGCAAAAACGCAAGCTGAACATACACACAAATTGGTACTTTGCACTATACCAGGCTCGTATTCTTTTAGCATACTGCTGTCACAGGTCCATTACGTTATGCTCCTTGCCAATGTGGCATGACCTGAACCTTAAACCCTAATATATACCTAAATGGCCCATGTAGCTATATAGTATAAACTTGGGCCCTAAACTAGGTGGATGGGAACACCTTTGGGTGCCAAGTATATATGCCATATGGGTGGTTCTCAAAATTATGGCCCCTTCTTGGATCCCTAGAATAATACGGCACCTAATATTTAGGGTACCCAAAAGGGACCATAATTTTGACAACCACCCATGTACCAACCTGGATCCTTTGCGATATTAACCCTTCCAGTATCCTCTGAGCTCAGGTGACTTGGGCTTCCCCCAAGCTCGGCACTTTCCTTTGCGTCACCTGCTCGGATGTCCACCGGGCGGCCGGCGCGCACATCACCTGCGCCACCCTGACTTGAGCCGTTGGTTTTTCAGGGAAATTCCAGATATTCAAGGCGACCCACGCCATGTTGAGCCCTGCTGGTTGCATGCCAGAAAGAGACCCAGTTGCGTAGACAGTGCTGACGAGGCTGTATGGGAGCTCCTGCCAAGAGTTGTGATGAAGAATGACGTGTCCATGCAAATGGTCGTGCTATTGGCTCACGCGAAGTATCTGAGGTGAAGAACTTTAGCACCTACCTGTGGTCTCCGGATGAGGTATCCATGATGCGGTTGGTGGGCAACAACCGTGCGCAGGAGAGACGTGCTGCATCTACATGCTTGTAATTGTATATATACATATATGTACTCATATTTATCTATTTACCCGGCTATAGTATAGCAAGCGGGGACATTACAAACTTGGTAGTTGTTATCATACCGGGCAAAGAGGTTTGCCCTCACTGCCACTTTTTTTAACTGTTGGCTCCCTCTCGATCAGTTGACCCAAAAGGATATGGAGAATTTCGGAGCTGAATAATGACGAGGTGCAAAGATACAACCTGACACGTCAATGGCCCTGCGGACAGGTCCATTGTCTTAGTGGTTGTTCTTTGTTTGATGTGGCCTCCTGAGGATAGTACTACAGAACTATGGGACATGTTAAAGCTGTTGCTGCACATGGTTTGTCTACGCTGGTTGAGACCCAATGCATTCCCGACTCAGCAGAGGAGCTCTACCGGCCCTCATCCAGCTTGTCTTGGTCTCCCCAGGACTCAAAGGAACGGAAGGCAGGTTTCTAGGATCCAGGGTAATGGGTTGAGAGTTTGGGGCGCGGGGTGCTCGGCAAGAAGGCATGGGCAAGAAAACCGAGGCTACGGTATAATTTGGAGCTCAGGGCTTAGGATTAAGTTCTAAAACTTCAGGTTGAGGGTGTAGCGTTGAGGGTTAAGGGCATAGGGCTTGGCGTCTAGATTCAGAGCTTGGGGCAGGTTGTCAGTCTGGTATTCAGGATTTCGTGAGCCCATCCTGTTCCCGGGACCATACATGTGTTAAACTGTGGTTACTGAAGCCCAGCCTCTGAGCCTCGAACATCTTCCTTCTACTCTAATGGCTGCTAATGGTATTATTACTATTCCTACTATTGCTGCTATACTGGTACTAGTACTAGTACTAGTAGTAGTACTAGTACTACTACTAGTAGTAGTACTACTACTACTACTACTGCTACTACCACTGCTACGCCGCCGCTGCCGCCGACGGCGGCGGCGGCGAGTAGGTCGCGCGTGCGAGTTTGGCCGTCGGGATGTTTCCGCGTTTGTCTTTTCGGCTCTTTCAAAATCGACAACCATTTCAGGGTTTTGGGCTGGTGGGATTTCAATCATGTGCGCAACATAGTGCGTTTAGTCTCAGGAAGTACACAAAACAATGAGAGGGCCATCCATTTTGCAGTTAAGGAGAAGATTTTTTGCAACCGCCGAAGTAGTTTGCTGAAATTTGGTGATTGACCTTACATTGATATGATAGAGGTGTGCTGGATAAGAACTCAATGTCCTCGCATGTCCTCGCCCTGTAGGCATTCTACAACTGAACAATGGGCATGGATGCTCTAGTCATGCGATGCAGCCGAACATGAAAGTTATTATGACTTGGGCATGCGTGCTCTGGTCATCCGACGCAATCGAATATGAACGTTCTAATGGTTTGGGCATGCATGCTCCGGTCATCCGATGCAGTCGAACATGACACGGTTTATGGTTTGGGTATGGATGCCCTGGTCATCCGATGCAGGCGAACATGAACGTTATTATGGTTAACGGGTGTTCGGGACTACACGAGGGGTTGTTGCGTTACTCCACGTAGTGTTAGCATTACTATCATTTGTGTTTTGACTTGTTGGACTACTCATCACTGATGTTATCGCCATAGTGGCCGTTTATGCTGTTGGCTCTCCGTGTGATGGAGGTGCAGCTCTGCACGCAGCTCTACGGAAGTGCAAAGGCTCAGGCAACTTCCTCGGAGATGATTGCCGCAGCCACCTCGGAGCACCTCGTCTTCTGCGAAAGTTGTTGCCCACTACTGCTTGGCATGTGTTGTTGGAGGGTTTAGGCAGGAGGTGGTACGCACAACAGTAGTCTAGCATCAACGCCATGTCGCTAATTACCCAGCATGCCCCTGCAATGCTAGATTCTGATTTCTTGAGTACGAGTGTTGCTGCTATTGAGATGCCTTGGACTCCTTAGGGCGATTGTAAGCACTCCCATTACCAGCCTTGAGCCCAAACTCTGAGTGCTCGCTGCGGCCCCATGCTTTTAGCAAGGGGGCCCAAGGTAGGATGCAGCTCTAGTTATTGCTGATTTTGGGAAGGGCAAGCGCTCACCACTACGGTTTCGTATAAGTTCCTCGGGTAGATCGATTCATATCCGCGCTCCCGCACCCTGCAGTCCAAGGTCGGTAAGGGCGGCAGGTCGCGTGGATGCTTCTTAGACTGGCCTGTGTTCTTGGTGTGAAGTTGAAACTGCATAATGGGTGCGAGTTTCTTGTTGCTGTTGCAAAGCGGCTTCTGGAAAGTTGAAATATGCATCTTCTGACATTGGGGAAGTGGGGAAATGAGTGGGCCGTATTTCAACTGGAAGCAGAGAATTTTTGCCACCCTTCTGAACATCGTATGAAGCGTCCAGGTCAAGACGTCAAGGCGCAAGGCGCAAAGACCTATGCGAATCCTGACTGGTTTGACGACTGGTCCACACCTACACCAATCAGAGAGGACGGCCCACAAGGTTGATGGATAAGACGCGACAGATTTTGCGTTTAGGGCCTTTGCTTGGTGTCTATGGGGCTACGGGCTTTGTTTACCGGCTGGAGGCTTCATAGGCTAGGGCTCGAGTCTTCAGGCTGCAGCAAGAGTGGGAGCATCTTCTTTGAGAGGGGAGGAGGGAATCTTAAGGCAGGAGCACAAACCAGACTTGATGGCGTACTTCGTTCTAGTTAAAGGGGAGAACCAAGTTAGGTCTGAATCGTCGAGCAACCTCAGCTTCTTTGCATGCAGCTGCAAGCATGTGAAGAAACTGACATTGAACCGCCGGAAGGCTGCTTTCCCCTGTCCCGTTCTACGTGCTGAAGCGGCAAGCTAGACGTCATTACGCAGCAGTTTCTTGGTGTTACATTGAAGATGCCCGTCAACAGCACGCGGGGTGTTAACCAAAAATGAGCGTCTTGTGGGGCCTACCGCCTGCCGTCAGTTTCACACAACAACCGAAAGGAGCCAAAAAAGACGAGTCCACCTCAAAGTGTGGATCTGTTGGGTGACTTGTTGGACTTGCACGTGGAGCCACAAAAGCCAAGACGAGCACAGCAGAACGTGTCCAGACTCAGCTTCAGTTCGTAGCGTCTGGGGTGTTAGTTTTGTCACTTGAGCTGTTGCTTGTCCTCCCTGGTTTGTACTTATCTTGTCATTTTACCCGTGGTTTGCTTTTGTTCTCATGGTCTTGAATTGCAAGGGCGTTCATGGAAAGGGGGGAGGACTCCATGGCTTATAGGGACCTCGCTTCGTGATAAGCCACGCTAACAGATATGCCATACCATTCCGAACCCCGTTGAGTGTTCATGAAGCCAGCAGAGGAGGGTCCCTTGTTCCTACGCTTTAACAGGCAGAGGGCCAGGCTTGACAGGGCAGATGCTGAAACAATTTTAGTGGCATTCTGCTATGAAAATTTGAGAAGAACCCTGCAGAGCCCTTTGCTGTCCTACTTCCTAGAATGCCTAGAAGGTGCAGGACTGCTGGTTACCATGTGGACGTTGGGACTCTGAACGCAGGAGAGGAGCAAATTTGCGATGCTTCCTTCCTTGCGCTCTGGAAGTTCCTAGGTCTCAGGGCTGGACCCGAAGCCCCTAAAGCAATTTGGTTCCCAGGGCTACGTGGACCTGGCTGTGGGCCCCATGGTTGATACAACTCCGCAGAGATTTGGCTGCAAGGGCGAATCACTGGGGTGTTGCGCCGGTTGGGTGTCCAGGATGGATGGTCTATTCGACCGTAAATTCCGCTCAACGTGTTCTTTATAGGGTCCTTACAGGGAATCCCTCGTTCTAATAGCCATACTAGAGGATGAATAAGCCCTGAAGATATTTTTCTAGATGGTAGAGTCACTGTAGAGGGTGGAGAGTGCTAGGTTTGGACGTTCAAGGTTGAGAGCTTGCCGCCCACTCATTTCGATGCTGCAGGAAATTCGTCACGTGGAGCCCTCACACAACTTTGTCTTTGTGAGGAAAGTATTGTGGGCCCTTTCTAGCCCTCTAAACCCTAAACCCTGGTCCTGGAAGTCTTCCTGCTGTTGGCGTTCCTCAAGGTGGGCCTTGCTTGAGGGGTGAACTCTGACTCCTAAAATGTATTTGAGGTGGAGTTCGTTGCATAAAGCACGGCAGGGCCCGGCTACATGTCCAAACCCTATATAACCCCGATATCATCCCAGTTTCAAGTTCATGTTCCATTTGATTTGATTCTGCTTCATTCAGGGTACTATCCCTAGATAGCATTAATGACCGCAAGAGACGTGCAAGAGCAAGCCTACGAACTGCTGAAACTGTCAAAGCCCTGAACTAAGGAAAATGCAGCAGGAGCTCGCAAGCGTCTTCGATATTGCGCCCCTTCGCCCTGCGGAGCTTACCACCTGTGCGATGCAGACAGTCAAGAAGGACGACAGGGACTTCTGGAACACGGTGAACTGGGATGATCTCATGAGCCTCGATTTATTCTTGTCCTTATCAGGCTGGGCTGGGCTTAGGTGAGGCTTGGTCTTATCATGAACCCACATGAAGGTTACAAGGGAATAAGTTCAAATTCAAAACAATTGAGTTGTTTGCTGGTTTCGGGAGCCTTGCTGCCTGCTTTTCGGATCTAGGCTGTATATATCACGATGTAAATGTGGGAGGCCCTTAGGCAGTTGTCTTGGCAGAAAGTCAGGGTCTTGTTCGGGATGGAGTGTCGCGGGGATTTTTCATGTTCGTACGGTCACGGTTTTAGGATGTTTTAGGCATATTTGGGATCAGCTCTATACAGACGGGTTTTGAGCGAAGCCCTAGCTTTTCCTGTCACAAGCACTTCAGAGGGCCACAAGCTTCTTGTGGCATTAACAGCGACAGAGGCCTATTGAGACGATGCAACACTAAGGAGAGTAGCCAAGATGTTGACTAATCCATCAACGCGAGAAGTGTCCTCTAAAAATTGTCACCGGGCTGTTTGGGGCTATCGGCCCAATTGAAAGGAGTTCCTGAAACACTGTTCAGGGCACTCTCAGCTGTGATCTTTGAGACCCCAAATGCAGCATACAATCTCTTACCTACCCAGCGATCAGTCCCCCATTGAACCTCAGCAGCAGAAGTAGCAGCTACCTGAACATGATTTGTGTGTCACTGACAACGTCGCCCAGGAAGTGAGCAAATGGCAGTCACCTGCTGCCTGCCGCCCCAGCTTTGCCGCTGCGACAGCTGTAAAACAGTCAAATCTAGTTGGTAGCTCGTTCGAGCAAGACAACGCATTTTACTGCACAAACAATCAAGCTACTGCTAGGGCCAGTCGAGCATCAAATCCTATGTATGGCCTGCTGCGCATGCATGAGACCATGCTTGCGTGCTGCAGTTGCCCACGGTGTGCTGCTGTACAGTTCCAGCATGCGGCTTCTGCAGATGGCTGCGTCAAAAAAGGATCCTTGTGCAGACCGTTCCACATAGCGGCTTCCCGCTGACCAGGACTAGGACTCGAGCTAAACAACTAGTCAGGAATCAAGACCTGCTTCATACCCCACATGCACAAGTTGGTCAGGGAAACTCTTGCCTCGCCGCTGGGAGAGAGATGTGGCACGCTCCTTTTGCTCCAGACCCTAGCGCTCTTTGCCCAATCTGGCCGTCTTGTCGCAGACGTGAACTCAGGCTTGGATGACAGAGTTTGGCATCAGTGGGAGTGGACTGCCGCAGCCTTAATGCCAGCGTTCCCTCTGATCCAGATTGATTACCACTCCCCATGCTAATATGGAACCTCATTTAGTGCCCCTTTATATGGGCAGCAGTCTTTTGAGACCTTTTTGGGGTTCCATGTCAGTTCGGGGGGATAAAGCGGCACAGTGGTTACTAGCTGCGGTAGCGGGGCATTTTAATTATCAACTGGGACGCACCTGGTACTTGGTACCAAATGACTCCTTTGTATTCCTGCCCAGACGGCGGCGGAGCTGTATCCAGTGCTCAGCAGGGGCCCCAGGATGCAAAAAATGCCAAACTGGCAAGGATTCTGAGTTTAAGGTATGGATGGGTATGGGGCTTAGATGGCAGGGATTCTGACGGGTTTACGCTTTAGGGTTTGAGTCCTAAAGAAATGTCCGGAGGGGAGGTACCATGCATACCCCTGATACAACCTTCCATGGTCCCTATAGCCTTTACATACCCTTGTGTAAAATTCCTCCTATTGCAAACTTCCCATCTGAAGTTGGTCCCAATTGAGGCTTTAGCTTTCGGTATTTAGGCTTCAGATGTCAGGGCTTAGGATTTTGAACTGGGATCTCCAATTCCTTGGCTTTTAGAGCAGCGGAGTAATCTCTGTTGGGGCTTATTAGTCTCGAGAACAACCTCTTTCAGAGCAGTGCAGGGTAATGAGGAATAAGCGAGAAAATAACTGCAGGGGTTGTCAAGGTTGCTTGGGGAAATTATTCAGGGCTCACGTTCAGGATTTAGGGCTTCCTGTAGGTCTCTAAGAAAAGAGTAGAGGAGAACTTGTGTTCTGTAGTAGCCATTTTGGGAACAGGAATTTTCATCAAGCAGTATATGAGAGTTTGATTGAACAGTGCGGCCCAATAAATAGCCCTGAAGATTACACCTCTCAAAAAGGATTCCCCGCTTGTGAATCCCAACATTTTTTGGCACATTTTGATCCCCTATGCAAGCATGAAATATCTTGGTTGGGTACTGCCCCCGCCCCGTAACAGTCTATATTAGGGGTCCTACTAAGGGCTATAGATAACCATATTATCATGATTATCCAACTGTTACTGAGGGGGGGCAGTACCCAATCTCTTGGAATTACCCTAAACCCTAAACCCTAAACCCTATACAAAAAGAGAGCTTACCAGGCGAAGACTTGCGAGGCACGACTCGCGTGTGAGTTCGGGGTTGAGGGATATGTCAGATAGGGTTACCTGGACCCTCCAATGTAGTTCCTTTTTGGGTTTGGTATGGTTTTTTGGGTAGGACTGTTAGGACTACCAGAAAGGTACTACATTGGAGGGTCTAGGTAAGGGTTCAATGTTTAGGGTTAGGGTGATGTCATTAATCCTGCTTGGCTTTTAGGGTCTAGGGTTTTGGGTGATGTCACTTCTCTTCCTTAGAAGAATGTAGCGTTTAGGGTTTAGGGTGGTGTATGGGGATTCCTACCACACGAGTGGAGAATCAAATAGAAAATTAAATGGAAAAATCGATTGCAGAGGGACCTCCGCCCCATGATCAGGAACCCACCTCACGTCGCCCCGAACTTGAAGATTTCCAACAGAGGGTATCAAAAATTCTTGTCATGGAGATGAGTTTAAGTGTTCCCGTCAGAGAGTATCATAAATTCTTGGGCACTGATGCGGGAGTGGGTGGCTTTTTTTATCAATTCGGAAACCCTACACCCAAAACCGCGTGCCGGGCACCCCAGTCTTGGAGCCCCCTAAGAAACGTCATACCTATGCAGACCTCTGGACGTAGGGTTTGTATAGGGCTTAGGGGTATTGCCCCAAGAATGGCGAATCAAATGGAGAATAAGAGGGACAATTTGCTCTGTGTAAGGATTCCTACAGTACTACATTGGGGACACCAGGCGATTGTTTGGAGGTTCCATGCGCTGGATCCTTTCGGGGGTCTGGGTAGCCAAAGGCAGGGGTTAACAGGCACCTCAAGTAAAGGCCCTGAAGCAGACAACACACTGACGATGCGTTTGAAACCCTTTTGGAAATATTGTTGTTTTTCAAAATTCAGGGCATCCCCCCATCCAGAAAAAAGTGATCATGGAGGGACCCCCGATGTATCCATGAGTGGGGGAGGGGGGTCGCTTCGTGAATGGCCCCTGCCCTAGCAGCCCCAAACCCATCCGCCATACCTCCGCTTAAAGCTTGCGCAAGCTCTTCTTCAACTCTCGCAAAGGCATCTTTCATGTTACCCTCCCGGAAACTAACATGGAAACCCAAAAAGGGCCCTATAAAGACTACAGTCCCTCTAAAATGTGGCGGCTATATGGCTTTCCATGTTAGTTTGGGGGAGTGTAATGCAGGTGCCTTTGGCATCAAGCCCCTAAGCTGTCCTAAGCTGTCTGACACACAGGCGTCAGGGCTACTGTTCTGGCTGCAGTGGTACCACCCGAGCTGGGTGCCGGCCTGAGCGGATTTGGAGGTATGCCTATAGTCCCCCTTAAGTAGATAGAATATTGGGGGTTATATTAGGATAATG